GTCCCGAGGCCATCTTGGAGGCCACTTGGGCGCTCTGGGGGCGATCTTGGGGGCCTCTTGGGCCGTCTTGGGTCGTCGGAAGCCGAAAAGGAGCAAATACGAAAAATCTTTCAAAATCTAAGGGGAATTAAGGAGGAATTAACGATTTTGGAGGCACCTCCTCCTCTCTTGGGCGGACTTGGAGGCCATCTTGGACCATCTTGGAAGCCGTCTTGGGCCAACACGGCCTTCTTGGAGGCTATCTTGAGCAGTCTTGGAGGATTTTTTCCGGATTGGGCACGTTTCTGGGTGGCCGGCGGGACGGGCCGAAGCCCCAGGGGGAGTTCTTTTGGAAAAAGAACCAAAACCAAAACCGAAAGGGTTTATCACGCCAGGCACCCCTGCGATGAATCGACAGGGGGCGGCGGATCTAAGACGCCTACGGCGAATCACCGCCGCCCCCTGCCTTTGTGGAAGCGCCTATGTGGCCGAACGTTGAGGCCAGACCTGCCAAGCCATCGGACCTGGTCCCCGAATGGGTTTGGAAAGCCTTCGGGGAACATGTGGGCATCTTGAAGGTCATCTTGGCCGTCTTGGAGACCTCTTGGGCGATCTTTCGGCGATCTTTGGGGGCTCTGGGGCCGTCTCGGGCCGTCGGACGGCCGAAAAGAAGGAAATGTCAAAATCCGTGAAGAACCTTAGGATAATCAATGTTTTTGACCTTTTCTGGTCTTCCTGGAGGCCCTCTTGGGGGCCTCTTGGGCCCTTTTGGGCCAGCTTCGAGCCAACTTCAGCCATCTTGGTGGGTTCCTGGCACGTCTGGCGCCGTCGGGAGCCGTCTTGGGGGCCTTTCTGGGCCAACGGGTGACCCTCTTGGGGCGCTGCGGGGCCGTCTTGGGGCCCTCTTGGGGCCATCTTGGAGGCCACTTGGGCCGTCATGGGGCCCTCTCGGGGGCCTTTTGGGCGATCTTGGGGGCCTCTTGGGCCGTCTTGGGCTGTCGGAATGCCGAGAAGAAGCACATTCCAAAATCCTTCGACAATTTTAAGAAAATCAATGATTTTGGCCTCTCCGGGCCCTCTGGGAGGACCTCTGGGAGGCCTCTTTGGCCGTCTGGGAGGCCTCTGGGGGGCCTCTTGGGCCGTCTTGGGCCGTCTTGGACTCTCTTGGGCCGTCGTGGAGGCTGTCTTGGACCACCTTGGGCGGACTTGGAGGCCATCTTGGACCATCTTGGAGTCCATCCTGGGCCATCTTGGCCACCAAGCCATCGGACCATGTGTTCCCCGAATCGGTTTGGACAGCCTTCGGGGAACACGTGGGCGTCTTGAAGGTCATCTTGGCTGTCTTGGAGGCCTCTTGGGCGATCTTTCGGCGATCTCT